GCCACTATAATCGATTTACTCGAGTTTGCCGCGATGGTTTATGCTTACCATGCATGTTCAAACTAGGAGGTCAATTCTTTGCATGAAACCACACGTCCATCCTTAAGTTGTGCAAATGAGAGGGAATCCTTGCTAGCGACACGAAAACGATTTAGGTCTTTGATTGCATTATCGATCTCGGCCTTCGATAATGGCTCTGAACTGACCGTCCATGGATCGTCCTGCATCACCTAAGTAGGAAGAGGTCTGGGAGTAGTGATGCCAGTCGAACTGGTCTTGAATGTTTTTCGCCCAACGAGCCATACGGCGCTCCTCGCACTGCTTTGCTGACACGTGGTTTTCCGGGGCAAGTGGCGCTGATCTGCTATAGGATTTTGCAATCGTCCCCTACTGCTTCCGCCTTCTCCGTCTCTTGAGCCCGGCTGGTGCACTAGTCTTCCTTGTCAGCACGCAGACTGCGTTTTACTTCGCGTCTACTGGCCCGTCTGGTCACATTGTGCACAGAGCCAGCCGGGAGGCTTCTGGATTCCAACAGGTTCACCGACCTCTTGGATATCCAGTGACTGGTGCAGTGACGATTGATAGTGCCACAAGCAGATGCTCCTGCGTCGTGCATGGCAGCCGAGGTCTAATTCCACTGAAGCCCAATGTCATCAGGACCAGGTAGCGACATTTCGGTACGCATTGCAGCATGTTTGCCTTTCCCGTCGGAAGGCTGGAATAACTTTTGCCAATTGTGTAAGACGCTTAGTGCACCTCCCTTAAAAGCGACATGGTACCAAGGCATGATCAGAGTCGACGCAGCTATTCCAGTATGAGGGACAATCCAGAATGGAACTACGCCACCTGTAACTTATGGCAACACGATCAATTTGGGTCCGTCGCTGGACAGCTACAGGAGGACGCCAAGTTGCTCTTCGGCGCCCATTTTCTCGGATAGGAATGCTTCTAAGGAACAGCTGGTGCTCCGCACGCAATCGCAGTAGATGCTCGTTGTTGTCCGTACTCTCGGAGTTAAGCCCATAATTACCACCAAGCTCAGGTGACCTACTAGTGCCTTCACATCCCCTGCAAATATTCTGACATCTGAACTGGTACCATTGCGTAGTACCGTGTTCTGTTCCTGGTAACATGTATTCTCATCGTCATCTGCAGTTCGGTCGATTAGTACACTATCCAGGTTACAAAATCTAGTTGTTGATTCTTAGACTATCACCTATATGGATTTGCGGCAAGCATACAAATCACCTTTCTGGTCCAGGCTGAAAAATGCAAACAAACAGTCTTGCTTGTGTTGATGATGAACCCGAATTTGACCGCGGTTGAAGCCAGAGCCGAGGTCATGTGTTGCAGCTCATCCGCGCTGTCTACAAACAAAGTACACTCGTCGGCAAACACCAACCTACGGATAGTTGTCTCACAGACTAGAGTTATCGCATCGAAACGACAGATGTTCAGTAACCCACCATCGGTACGATGTTCCAGATGGACACCGTAATCATGAGCGGCATCAAAAGCACAAGACATCATTTCTCGAAGATAACTATTAAACAGGCAGGGCTAAGACACAGTCTTGCTTCACACCAGAGACAACGGCAATGTCATCCGTGGTTTGTCCACACAGCTGTACCCTTGCCCGCATACCCCTGTGCAGACATTCAATTAAACTTACTCGGACAATCAAACTTACCCAACACCAGCCACATTGCCTCGCGGTTCACCTTATCAAAGGCTTTGGTAAAATCAACAAACGGATGGTGTCTTTCTCTGCGATTTTCCTGCAACTGGCGAACCGAAAACACCATATCGATGGTGCTGCGTCCCGAACGGAATCCATATTGATCTTCCACCACGTTCGATTCAACGACCTGGGTGACGAGGCGGTTGAGCAGGATTATTTCAGTCACTTTGCCTGCACAACAACACCTTGATACCACGACACTTCGTGACACATTGCTTGCTTGTTTTCCCTTGTTCCGTAGTGGCACAAGGTCATCCTTCTTGGCCGGCACTTCCTCTTCAATTTACACGCGTTGCACCAGGTGTTGCAATACATTTTGCGGCTCGAGTCCGTAGTGTTTTAAAACTACTGACGGCATCCCGGCTCCGAAGCAATTTGTCGTTTCCCAGCTGAGCAAATGGTCTCTGCGTCTCATCCAGAGTCGGTGTGTCGGACAAGTACATCTGCATCTCTTGTTGTTGCAACCCGCGCTGTCAATCTCTGGACGGTTGCCAGATGTGCATTATTTCTGCAACCTGTGTGCATGCGGCGCCTGAAGTAGAATCTAACAGCGCCATCAGCGGCTGCCATGTAGGTACATACACCGCCTTCAAGCACTCGAAAAATTCCTTATGTTGGCGACGTTCGGCGTAACATTCCATCTGCTTCGCCCTCTCCGTCCACCATGCATCCGTGATGTGACAGAGCTGTCGAGTCAGTCGCCGTCGGAGTTCGCGAAAATGACTCCTTTTCGTGATCAACAGGGTCATTCACATGTTCAGCGAACGTTGCATTTTTCTCAGGCAGCAATGGTTTTACTGTTATCATCACACCAATCGTGCCGCTTACGCTTTGCGCGCGCGATCGTTTCTTCAGCAGTGTCTGTCATCTGGTCACAAATGTGTTGCTGCTACAGGTCGTTCATTGAGACTATGGATCGCCAAGGCGGGTAGCCATCGTCTTTTCCAACTCCAACCTCTTCTCCACCGTACCTAGGGAAAGAACATTGTACTTCCTCCGGTTAACAGCAGGAATGCAATGCATTGATTTACAAATATATATATATATATATATATATATATATATATATATATATATATGTATAATTAGGTCCGTCCCAACTTGTGATCAGTGCCACACTCAGCTCCACGTGGTACAAGTGTCGTACGCACTTCACGCTGGCGTACGATAACGCAGTCGAGCTGGTGAGCGTGTCCACTCCGCGGGTGCGTCCAAGTAGCTCTATCACTCGCACACAATGTCAACTGTGGGTTCCTGATCGTCAGGCCGTGAGTGGCGCACAGTGAGAGCAACCAGTTACCGTTCTCATTTTCTGTGCCAATACCATGCGGACGGAGTACGTCTGTCCACACCGCAACTTCGCGTCTAGTTCGCGCGTTGGAATCACCCAGTATCAAAATGCTGTCGCTCCTCTCAAATACCATATCACGGAGGGTAACTGAGAGTGAAACTGATGCTTCATGTCATCGAAGTAACACATGGTGGGACCACACGTGCTAATAGGATTGGCGAACTGCGATTCGTCAGTTGTGCGCTGGTGCCACTCTGCTGTGTCACCAGCTGGCCATTTAGACGGTCGGATATTGCAAATCCGACCCTATGCTGTGCGGGCGCTCCTCACCCACTAGAACTTGTACCCAGCATCAGCCTCATGCGGCTTCCTTTGGTTAGCGAGCCGAGTCTCGTTGCGTGCGGCAATATCGATCCCGTAGCGCGCGAGTTCCATCACGACCAGTACGGTGGTTCGCTCGGGACGCCTATTTGTATTCCGGTTGAACAACGTGTGCACATTTATCCAACCGATGTTGAGCGCTTTGCGCGGAGGCATACGATTGCGTTGGCAACCAACCGTATGCGTGGTGACGAATTGCATTGGTGGGAGTAGTGGGTTAAGTGGAACGGGGACGGGGAGTGTATGTTTATGGGAACAAGAAAGAAGCGAGGCGTCAGTGGTGGAATCTTTTCGCTTATCCACCCCGATGTATGCAGCAGATAAGGCGACTCTTTTCCTAAGGCCACTGCGCGACGACCGATGCAGCATGGATTTATTATTATTATTGGCATGATTCATGTTTGTGGGTTGGAGTTGGATACTGTCGTTGGCGTCCACACCTGACAGCAGAACGACTCTGGTCCTCAACCAAAGCCTTCGATAACATTTACACCCGAAAGGTAGCGTTCCGAGCGCCATGAGTCAGTGAACTGACTCACGCGGAGTTGCGTTTGGCTCATAGCTAGAAGAGGGGTGTAATCCAACTTCCTCGCAACGGTCGCCACGATGAGGCGTCCTGGATATAAGCCCACCTCATAACATTAGCAGCAATGAATGGCCGATCTGTCAGGATGTGGCCACAATAAGCCTCAGCGCACCATAGGTTTCGCTCAATACACAGATGTTTGCTTTAGCCTTGTCTTGTTCGGATTGGCACCCTTATTTTAATTATTTGCTAATCAACCAGTGAATCTGGATATTTTAAACTATATTTATTTCCTCCTTGTTACCCTGCATTTTATCGTGCTTTTGTTTCGTCACCCCCCCAGTGCTGTTGGTTCAGCTGCCGTACGTTCTAATTGCACTTGTTACCTTTGCATTTCGATTGCGCAACTAAAGCCTGCTGCCAGTCCCTTATATCTCAAAGCGCTATCGTTTCTGTTTGCTGTTTTTTCATTCTCTTGATTTACTCAATTTCAGTAGTATTGATGTCATACCTTTTCCTAACAGGTTTATTTCACACGTACTCGGAGTTAGCTGAGATGCTTCAACGCGGCGATCAGCTGGGTACGTTCCTTGTTCGTTTGTCTACTTTCATCGTTGTCTGGGCTTTTCTAGTTTATCTACATAATCCTTACATTACGCTACCTTATAACCAGTTCATGTGGAGTCGGAATACACGACAGGTGCCATCAAACTGTAACTCGTTACGATATCGTATGAACACTTGAAAACGACCAGTGTGTCATAGATAGTTTTTATACCATTTTGGATCCTATTTCCGTGGAGTTGTACCGATTCAAATCTCTACTTGCTCCCACAATACCAATATTCAGTATTCATACAGAAAACTTTAAAATTCAGAAGTACTTCTTTTAATTTCCGTATACACTCCCCTCTCGGCGAAAGAAATCTAACCTGCTGTATCCACAATGACTTGACAGTATACCCCAAATAAGTCCCACTTCATTTTTGCTTCTCTTCTTGCTATTATCGCTGCGAATATGTTTCATTTGGCCGTTCATCGACGATGCTTCACCAACGTTTACTTGCAGTGCAAAGCACCGCTGATACCATTGATTCGCTTTTACTTCGGATGTTTTTGTGTTGTAGTTGTTGTTGGAAGCGACTGTCGGATGCACATGTGGCACTCCATACATCGGCTTCATCTACTTCTCGTCTGGCACAACTGCACCATTCACCGCTGCATGCTTTGGTGCGAAAGCACTGCTGTTCCCGTGCACGTTGCGCATCCACTCTGCCCCTCATCACACTTCAACGCCCTGCACCGTGTACAATGCAGTGACGCGTCATCGGTCCACATATACTGTTTTACGCAATTAAAGTTGCGCAAGCTATTCTCGGTCCTTGGACTGTTGCCTCCGAACTGATTTACCAGTGTCCCCTTTATCTCTTGCCAGTTTGGTATACACTTGACTTATCGAACAAATCCGCCTTTCGCTTACTCGTAAGACTAGCCTGTTGTCACTCCCAAACGGCCATCTTCTCTGTGGTATCATTTGCTCGCATTTTGTAACGAACGTTGATATCGGTCGGGGTTGACAAATGCGCTCCTCGACCCTCACGATTGTGTTTTCTTTTAACTCTCTGGTATGCACTATGCGAGGCACCTTTATGTGTACATTACGATTCTTTTCCATCATGCCATCAGTTTGCTCGTGTGTCGCTATTCTCCCCCAGGATTGGACGAGCGTATAGCAGCAGGTGGTGTGTATTACATAACCGCACCGCCCGTTTTGGTTCACTCGCTCAAAATGAGCTTACTACGAGAGGAACGTTCAAGCCGGAGCAAACTTATCGGTCCAGGTGGATTTCTAGTGGGAATGAAGCGAATTTCATCGGAAATCGACCGTTTGGTTGTCGTTCGCGTTGCACTCGAATCCATCGCATTCACTGTCCGCCAGCTGCTCGATCAGTGTCCTACTGAGGCAGGTGAGCTTCACACTGTAGATTGCTTCCTCGGTCTTGCTCTGTCACTTTTGTTGCACATCTGACACTGCAGGCTAAGTGATGTCGGCCTGTGGTTTCACTTCTCCATCGATGTTACACACCGCTGATGCTCTCTCTCTCTCTCTCGTCACTTTAATGCTGATTCGGTCGGCACCGCTGTTGACTTCTATCTTTCTGTTGCTTGACTGGACTTTGACGCGCAGTCTCTACTTAGACTACTGGTTAACTTGTTGTAACCCCGTTGATCTCTATCAATGGGGTTGTAGCCGATGATGTTCTTTCATGCATATTCACTTTGTCACCTTTTTTCTCCTAACTTATACAAGAGAATCGTATCATGCACGACATTCGATGGTTGTCGTGTTCGTCACTACACTAACAGATTTCGTGGGCAGCACTTGGAGATGCATTTGGTTCCTAGACTTCCTGCTCTGTATTGCGTTTTGGTAGGATAAAGTTCATGGAGCGAAAACAGCTGTGGGATGGGTGTTGCCGACCGCACAGATCACAGTGTCTTCTTTCGTTTCCACACATACACACACCTGAACTCTCACCCGCACTTCATAATTATTTTTAGTTCCCCTAACTTTATGCCTATTCTCTTCCACTGACACCGATCAGTAACGCCTCGCTTTAATCTTTAATTTTCACATCCTGTCATTTGAACTTTTCACCATAATCTGGCAGCAATCGGTTTTGTGTCCGAATTTCCGCACTTCGTGTCAGATCATTCAGGAAATGTATCTTGCTATCTTCCAACGCGTTTATCTTATCCTATTCTTCTTGAGGGGACAACCTTCGAACTTGGAGCGATTGCTTGTGTACCTCCTTGTCTCATGTAGCTTCGATCGTTATCCTTTCCAAAATCCCGTTGGTGTTAGACGAATCAATGGTTGAAGATCAAACATAACTAGTCTCAAATCCCATCCATGCGAAACACCAGTTTACACGTTGTAAACTCGGTTTAATTATCTTGAAACTTGTACACCCCGGTTTGTCTTAGTTTGTGAAAATGCATGTGTTGCCCGGTTACTCTTGTCTAACAAAAATGTAGACTTACAAAGTCTTTCCTGTGGTCACCAGTGATTGCAGACGTGTCATGAAGCACACTGAGTAGCCTGGGTCGGTTATCCAAAGGTTTTCAAGAGAGAGTGCTACCAGTCCCGGGTTGATCATCTTACCGTTAAATACACCGGTGCAAGATTGTCATTTTGTTTCGAGTGCGTATCTGGACCCGCGTCTATCTGGCGCTCACTGTTCCTGCTTCAGTGGATCATCTCTGCACGCATGAATCCAAGGTCTACGCGAATTCGCAATCAATCGGATCTAGAAGCGTATTTGGGTATAGGGAGAGCGAGCGGTGTTTTGATGTGCGCATCACCCAGAATGCACAGCGAAAAGTGACTAGCAACCATTCCTGCACCGAACTCGACGCATTTCAATCGCGCGTGCACTTCTATTTTGTTTATTAGCTTTTTTGAACTTCGAAAAAGAGTCACAACTGGTACTCTGCTTCGGAGTGTCCGCAACACTGGAAGGACGTTCGCCTAGAAGCCTGAACATTGATCGGGTGCATTGTGGGGATGGCTGTAGACATTTGCTTTTTATTGTTGATAGCATTAAGAATTATTCGGTGTTCTTCAAGCTAATCCGAGCCCCGCCGTGGAAAGGGACAAATAATCTATCTGGAAACCTATGGACTTGAATATTTGGTGGTAGCAATCCGGCTTGCTTATTTTATCACTCCTGTCCCCACTCACTGCATTGCTATGCTGCGCAGTGTTACTGAGGCTGGTTCTCGCACTGTTACAAGTCATCTGATCTGAGAGCATCTCTCACTGCCTCATTGTTGGCGCACTCGGGTGAGTGTTCACAAGTATCGTGCGGTCATGAAGTGTTGTGCGAAAACTATGTAGATGTTAGTTCTGTTGTTTTGACATGCAAACCGTTAACAGGCTATGTGGAATTCATAAGAATGGAATCGTTGGAAGTCCGGATTGACTTCAGTCACATGGCAGCACAGATCGTAGCAGATGTGCACGGTACAGTTGTTTGTGTGAATCGGTCTGAACTTCCGGTGGAACTGTACTTCGCGATTTCACGTCTTGACAAATACGTCGCATTTTTGCACACCTCTCCCTCCCTCAAGGGATTGTTTGTCCATGAGTGTGGCCTTTGTTGTCTATCTGCTAACAAGCATCACTCATTATACTCCTGTCTATGCATGTTTTTCTCAATATTCTTCCATGTTCGATTACAGCGAATCTGCTCTCGCCCGAACTACGTGTAAATGGGAATGTCGCCCTCTCAGATTGGCTGCTGCAGTGTATTGCTGATGTAACTGGAATCTTGATTCGGAGAAGCGAGTTCGAAGAATCCAGTTGCTTGGGGGCTGCTATCGCAGCTGGCGTTGGAGTTGGTGCGTTATATTCTGTTACCAATCACTAGACCAATCTCGTTATAACTGTTTGAGCGACGCTTGTTTCCGCATCACCTTATACCTCTATTGACTGTTATCCATACGGCATGCATTGTTCGGCTATTGATTAAGCCTACAGCCATCCTCTGCGTGCATCACGCTCCGATGGCAATTCCTCGCAATATAACGGTTCTGACAGGGTAACGCTTTCTGCTCGCCGGCCTGTAACCTAAAGGATCACAAGCCTGCCTTGTAATCCAAGGGCGCGGGTTCGAGCCTGTGTAGTGGACGGGGCGATCCTCGCAGTATCCTTGGCTCACGCGCTACTTAGTGGTTGCGCGGCAACGAAGCGTCAGCACTGCGTACCAGCGTACTGCTGCCATCTTTTTCCTACTAGGTGCACTCATACGATGGTCGTCACTGATCTAAATCCTAAGATTTCTCCATCCCTTCATAATAACCACCATCAACGTTAATGCCAGGCGTATGCACTCCGTGCAACCCGCCAATCAACATCTGTGTAGAATCTGCCTGGTCCGTGGGTTATCATAGTATTTAACGGTCATCGTTTCTTCTCAACCCTCTGTTTTCAACTAGTGTTTAGTTCACTAGGCCGAATATCGGGTTAAATTTTCGATCAACAGTTTGGTATATTTTTACTCTATGATTCGAAATGATGTCAATGGTTCCGTTTGTTAAAATTAACTGCCCGATTCTGTAGAAGCTTTTTGTCAATACAGCTCTGATCAGGCGCTGATTGTTAGCTCTTTTCGCACACACATGCGATACAGTAACATGATTTACTTGCGTAGTTTATCCATGCAGTGTCTAGAATCCATCATCTTGTCGATACAGAGTGCTACGGAATTGCGCAGCTGCTGGTCAATACTATGCTGCATTTTAACGTAGACTGCAGTCTGACCTCCTTCAACGAGTCGAAATGTTTCGGAGAACTCGTTATATTTCTCAAGGCAATCTTAGATGCACGCTACTGGTTACTCATAATTCCACCATACTGCTCACCCATCCTTCCCTTCTCTCGTTTACAGATTACCACGTTATCAACGTTGCTTGCCGTTAGTGACTGTGTCTTTAGCTCTGTCGCCCCATTATACTTCTACCGATTCGTCCCAGCTGCTCACTGGCGTTCACAGTCTTCAAATGCTCTGCCAACATAGCTGTTGTGTAGTGGAAATCGTGATCTCTGGAGATCAGCCGCTGTTCGCTGCTATGGTAGTACTCTGCATGGCAGTGGATTGCGCTGTACCTCATTTATCTTGCAAGTTATTATGGTCTGTCTCCTCCCCCCATGGTTCAATAGCATAAGCTTCTGGCTAATGGCGTAAGCTGCTAACGCTCATATGTTCGGTTCCCAGCAGGGGACCAAGGAAATGCGCAACACCGACGAGTCGCAATATGGTGAATCGATCGTCTGGTACTTGTAGCAGCTGGGGCGAATCGGTAAAATTTCATCAAACATCTTCCTACTCATTAGTAATCGTTCCACTCTCGATTGTTCTTTATGTCGGTACTTGTGAATATCCCAACTTGTTCTCTTCACCTTTGCCTCCATGCACATTCTTATAGGTATCTGGACATCTTATTCCACTGCACTTAAGGCTCTCTATCAAACAGCCTCAAAGCGTCTAACAGAAACCTATGCTGACCGCACCCTGCCTGTCATCAGCCGCAATCTGGCCACGGAATTCTCACCCAATACACTAAGAGTCCAACAAGTACAAGCAAGATATCGCATGTGGTGTCGAGTGCGCAACACTTATATCAAGAAGTTGCAACAGAGCTTTCAGTGACTGAACAGTCTGTTCATTCGACCTCGTGAATTGTCTCAGGTACCCCTGTCGCCTTTCATGAAGATCCAGTCTTTTTCCCTTAAGTGCTTTCGCGTATTGCCCAGCCGACTCATGGAGCTAAATTCCCGCCTCACACCAAGCGAAGGCTTGCTTCCTTTTGTGTCAATGTAATTGGTTTTTCTTAACGAGCTTCTCTTCTTGACTGCTTGTTTTCAATGTGCATCTTTCTACCGAAACGTTATTTTCTTGAATCGTCTTGACATCGACTTATCTCTATGGCAACAATCTCTTCTCCTTAACCTTACGTTTTATGACATTTGAACTATTTTGTTACCACTGGTGTCTTTCTTATGCACTTCATTCCATGTCTACTGATCACCGAGTGAAGTTCCGTTTCCCACTGCTTTGCACGTGTTTTGGAAGCTGTACAGTACGACTATTCGACATTAAAATTTCCTCCTTGGATTTAATGTGTAGTATTAAACGTGGCTCACCTTGCTAATTTTTTAGATACTCCCTCCTGCTCAATTACGTCAACTTCTATTACTAGCATCGATCTGTTTGTGCAATGATTTACACTGGGTTGTTCGACGAAACTTAATGGAACTGCGGAAGTGACTCCCCTTGTTGTCTGAGCGGAATCCAACGAGTCATCGTATGATCTGACGCAACCTGCGGTCATCGGATGATGTAAGGCACGTGGAATGTCTGCATATTTACTGCAAACACCACTCCTGATCTGTATGTCGATCACTGGAGTAATCGACTAACTTGAACTTAGCTATACTTATTTTACACGGTACACGTATCAGCTTTAGCACCTGTAGTCCCAATCTCAAACTTGCCTATTCTCTTATCATGGGTTCTATTTCCGTAGCAAGCTGTGAATGAGAACAAAGGTCGACACCTTTGTCAAGATCGGTGGAGCAGTCTATGTATGAAGGTAGGAATAGCTTCCAGTCACTACTACTGGGCAACCATGAGAACAGCGTCTGCAGGTAGCCGAATGGATAGAGCGTCTGCATTGTTGTAATCCTGGACAACTGTCGGCCCCATTAGGAAGTACTTCATATGCCTACCCCCAACGCTTACTTTGCCGCTCCCTCCACTTGTGCTGTTGCTGATTTGGAGCGATAGAAAGGTGGCCACTGCCCAACTTGTGGACCGTGTCAAAATGCTGATATCAATGCTGGCCACAGCGTTGTGCTGTCATACTCTCGGGTTTGGAACTCATGAATCGCGAGTCCACCTGGTTAGAAACGCTGCCGGATTCGACCCAAACTGGTACTCAGTGACGGACATATTGCGAGTCTCTCATCTTAATGTCTTGGCGCACGTGTTGTGCCACTGTCGATGGTTATACAGTCGAACCTGTCTAAGGCGACCACTCAAGTGACTGACAAATAGTAGTCGCCTTGTAGAGGAGGTCGCCATAGACAGGTTCATGCATAGGAAGATTACTTATAGGAGAAAAAGTTGGAGATGTTTTTGGCTGTTCGCCATACACACGTGATCGCCTTAGCGGGTTTGACTTCATATAAATAGTCGCCTGTACCAAGGATTCAAGATTACTGGTATGGATCATTTCCAGTTGGAGCCTCAAAGCCAACATCCGTGTCTCGACTTACTTTATCTGAACACGAAGTTTCGTGGGTGAGGGGCTAACTCAACTTCTCCTGACTGCGCAGTGATCCGGGTATCAATATTTTATTTAGATGCATTGGCAATTACGTGTTATAAACATACATGATGTTATAGTCCACAGATGCAGAAGTAACGCTAGTCTGCGAATGCAATTAATGGCTCTTAGGCGAACGACGCAAAGACTGGAACACGTCTAGCTGGCCGCGTGCAAATGTGTATTCTGACCAGAAGGGGTACAGAGCATCGATCGAGTAACTGTAACCAACCATTCGTGAGTGGGTGCTCGATCGACAGACAGCGCACGCGGTCGATGCTGGTGTGAACGCTGATTGGAGATGGTAACTCATACGCCACATTTTTCCTCCTTTATTTGGAACTCCCCCAGACATCCTGGTAACGATCAACTGGATGTCGGACTCTAATCGAACGGCATATTGGTTGAGTTTCTGGCTGGTCTGTGTGACCTCTGCGACCACTGGCTCGGTTGACGGGCTTGGCAATATATCGTCTGGCCCGGTTGAAACGGAACGACGGCGGACGTGATCAATGTGACGGGTAACCACCCTGCCGTCCGGTAGTGCAACCTCCGCTGTCTGACCTTCAATTTCGCGTAACTGCATATTGCCATGTCGGTTCGTGGGGCAGTTTGACTTAAACTGGTTCGTCCTCACGAACTTCTCGATTTGATGCTTTTCCATTGTACCTCTCTTTTGATTGCTCTTGCCGCATCTCAGCGCATAATCTCTGCCCTATGCGCGTTCCAAACCTACGGCCAAACATTAGTTCGCCTGGACTCTTGTCTGTCCTTTCTCTTGGACTGGAGCGGTAAGCGAATAGAAATTGTTCCAGCTTCGTTCGAAGTGGAGCGAGTGATTGTTTCTGTAACCCGTTTTTACTGTCTGGACTGCTGTTTCCGCTAGTCCATTTGAGGCTGAGTGGTGGGGTGGCGGTCTTCACATGTCTGATGCCGTTATTTTGAAGGAATTTTTGGAGCTGTTGGCTAGTGAATTCAGAGCCGTTGCCTGTCACTAATGTTTGCGGAATACCGAATGTGCTAAAACCTGTTGGGATACAGGAAACATTTGTCTCGGAAGTGGTGTGTGTCAGCGGAAATAGACATCGACTATGAGAAGAAACATCTTTCCATCAAGCGGACCAAAGTAGTCTACATGTATGCGCTCCCATGGCTTGTCGGGCCATTTCCATGGACTCAGTGGCACCGGTGGGGTGTTTCTTTGTGCATTTTGACATGATTCACAATGTCTGATTAATCTCTCTATGTCGCTATCAATGCCGGGCCACCACCCATACGACCGCGCGAGTCCTTTCATTCTGGTGATACCTAGGTGAGTTTCATGCAGTTCCTCCAACACACAATGTCGTAACCGAGTCGGTATAACAGATCTGGACCCCCATAAGCAGCAGTCACCCTCGAGACTTATTTCTGTACTCCGGGTGAAGTAAGGCAACAATTCCGCGTCACCTCGGGCCGTCCTTAGAAGGCCAAACGTTTAACTTTGCTGAGGAGTACATCACGCTCTGCGTTCAACACCGGCTTCCTGGTCAATTGCTACATTAAATGGACTAATTCGCTTGGTTCCAATACACAATCTGGCAGATGATTCAACGGCAACCGGCTCAAGGCATCCGTAATGCCGTCTGCTTTTTCAGGGACCTAAGAGGGTGTAATTGTAAGCCAATAACAATAAGACCCAACGTTGCATACGGAGAGATGACATCTGGTTGCTGCCTTTACCTTCACCGATCAACGCTAATGAGAGTTTATGATCAGTAAAGATTTCGAAACTTCTTCCCCAAAAATACTGGTTAAATTTCTTAACATCTCATATAACCGCCAACGCCTCGTCATCCATTTGTGCTTAGTTTTTCTCTACCGCTGCTAAGCTCCTGGGGGCAAAAGCGATAGGTCTCTCCGTCTGATCATCCATCTTGTGGCATAGTATGGCGCCGAGCCGTGATGCTGAGGCGTCACATCGGAGAGTGATGGGCCTCCTCGGATCAAAATGTACTAGCAGATTAGCCTTATCCATGGCTGCCTTGACAGCATCGAAAGACTTTTGTTCTTTAGCTGACCACTGTCATTTGGTGTTTTTTCTTAGTAAAGCGTACAGGGGTGCGAGGGTGGTGGCCAAATCAAGTAAGAAACGATTATCGTGTTTTACCATACCTATAAAGATTGCAGCTCACTGACGTTGCATGGTCTCGGAGAATCAAGGAGGAGCTGGATTTTATCCCTTAGCAAGTGCAAACCATGTGTATCCAAACGAAATCCAAGCTACCGGATGCTGTCTGCGAAAAATACACATTTGGATTCCTTCAGCTTGGAGACGTTTCAAGACCGTCGAAATCGATATCATGCGTTCGTGATCAATTCTGCCAGAAGTTAGAATACCATCTAGATAAGTGCATACGCTGGGTATTCCTTACATTAAATCGTCAATCCTCTGAAATAATGCCTGTGCAGAATGTATCCCAAATGGAAGTCTGTTGTAGTGGAACAAAGCCATGTGCGCATTGATAGTTGATATCTCCCTGGCGGACTTATGCAGCTCTACTTAGGAGTCAGCGTGGCTTAAATCAAGTTTGGAAAACTTCTGTCCACCTGCCAGAGTTGCGTATAACTCATCGATCCGCGGAATAGGATAGTGTTCTGACGTTGCCACTTGGTCAGCAGTCAACTTGTAGTCACCATAGATGCGGACGATGCCGTCGGGTTTTTGTACTGGAACCATTGGCGTGTCCAAACTTGAGTGGCGCATTGACGAATTATCCATCTCTTTGAAGGCGCTCCAGCTCGAGCTCAACTTTCGGACGGATAGCAAAAGATAAGCTCCTAGATTTGAAAAATTGCGGCTGGGTGTTCCGTCTGTTATTGAAAGATACTTTAAAATCAACGGGCGATGTTTCATCAAATACGCAGGTGTACATTCTCAACAACGAAGGAATGTTTGGAATATGGTCCACTTTTTGACGGTTTGAAGTAATTCCGGTATATTTTTGAGCCAGTTTCTACCAAGTAAGTTCGGGCCATCTGTGTTAACAACAATTAAGGGAAGGGTAAAAGTGTCGGCTCCACGAGTAACCTTTACTTCACACATCCCCAGTACCTCGAGCGATTCACCAGTATACGAACGTAAAACAGACTGTGTCGGGACCAGCGGCAGGTTGGGCAATCTACGATTGTTCACTAACGTAACCGAGGACCGCGCATCGATTTCAAAACGCACAGGTTGACCATTCCCGACTTCTACGGTCTATGGAGGTATTCCGAGCACATGTGACGTGGTAGTATATGAAATCTGAATACTGTATTATAGAGCAAGTAGAAATGAATTCTGTACAACTTTCGAAAAGTTTTCAGCCGTGAATATCGTTGTTGTTCTCCTGTAACATTTGAAATATCTGTCTCACGATATTGCAGCAATGAAGGCAGAATCTGAGTAAAGAATTCTTTTCGGCAATTCTCATCAGACTCAAACATTACATGATGACGAGAAAGTGCTAAATATGCCGGGTTGGGCTGCGTATTGAACAAAATGTTTAATTTCAACAGGAACAAACCAATAAATCACGGGGTCATTGAAAGTGGCAAGTATGTACAGGTGAAATCACAGCCGAAGTTGTAGGCCACGGTAGAAGTAAAGGACGTACAAACTGTTTTTGTACGCACAATTCTGGCTTGAGGTGGCGGATCTGCGAGCACATCCCAAAGTGGTTTTACAAAGGCGAAGCGAGGTCCAGTCACAGTTCCATCTTGTCTCACCTTCTAGAGTGCAGTCACGCAGGGACGGAAAATGATTTTAGAGTCATCTATACTGTTCCTGAACGTTTCACGCGCGGATTCCGGAAGCATCTTCTGTCTATTGCGGAAGCTATCTACATCCGCCACCTCAAGCCAGAATTGTGCGTACAAAAATAGTTTGTACTTCCTTTACTTCTACCGTGGCCTACAACTTCGGCTGTGATTTCACCTGTACATACTTGCCACTTTCAATGACCCCGTGATTTATTGATTTTTTTCCTGTTGAAATTAAACATTTTGTTCAATACGCAGCCTAATTCGGCATATTTAGCGCTCTCTCGACAACATGTAATGCTTGAGTCTGATGAAAATTACCGAAAAGAATTCTTTACTCAGATTCTGCCTCCCTTGATTCATTCTAATAAATGGGAATTTTTTATTGCTGAGGATCAGCATTCCCCGTGATTCAGTCAAGATATTGCAGGACTCACAAATGTGATATGTCATCGTAAGTGTGCAATCGTTCTCTGAATTGGATAGTGGTAAAATATAAATCCAACGACGTTTTGAACTGTTGCACAGATGTTGCCTCCATCACATGCTCAGGCAAACTGTTCCAAATATTTACCACTCTCCGTTCGAAGCACAGTGTGTGAAGAACCCGCTTCACATCCGGCATGACACGTTTGTATCTGTGTCCGCGTGTGCTGCATGGCCCTCGTAAGTGCAGCATTGGCCTTAGCATTGGGAAGTCACCGAGATATAGACTACGGTAGGGCATAATGGGGTCGACTGGCACCCGACAGTAAGGCAACGTTTAGAGTCCTATTTTCTCGCACCGGTCTTCATACCCCGAGCCACGTAAACTCGGGATGAGCCTGGTAGCAACACGTTGGATCCGTTCGATTTTATATGCATCGCCTCAGGTAATCGGAAAGTAGGCGGGCGAACCGTACTCTAGCATTGGTCTAATGATGGGAGAGAAGAGGCGAGTGGCAACCTCTTCAGACCATGTGCCGAAGCTACGTTTGAGCGCCCAAAGCATGCACAGTCCGTTACGATATAGCCCTATTCGTGTTGTCCACGGACATCAAATCGTATTGCGAGAGTACACCTAGATCCTTCACGAAGGGTGTGAGATATAGCGATTGGCCGTCAAGGGTGTAAGTTCTGCCGTCAGCACCCTTCCCCAGGCTCATAAATACAGACTTGGCTGGGTAGACCGGGAGAAGAACTTCTGCAGACCATGTGGATAGGCGTTTGAGGTTTAGCTGAAGTAAGTCACAGTCGTCGGGAGCGTCAATTTCTCTCCAAATCTTCATGTCGTCCGCAAACAAAGCACACGGCGACCGGAGAAGCTGCGGTAGATCGTTGATGTGGATCAGGAACAGAGTGGGCCCCAGCACCATGCCTTGAGGCATGCCACTTGTAGAGGGGTACCAGTTAGATAGTCGTCGACCTAAACCCTCCACTTTCGTCCAACAAGAAAGTTGCGGATCCACCGGTGCAGTGAGCCACCGACATCACACATCCTGAGTTTGTGAAGGAGAACCTCAATGGCTGACCTTGTCGAACGCTTTACTGCAGTTGTTGAATATCACGTCGACAGACTTCCCCTTGCTTATTGCCTTCAACCACTCATGCCTCGTCACAAGCAAGTTTGTAATGTATGAGCGGCTTGCTTAAAACCGTGCTGTGCGGGCGTCAGGACCTCATTTGACTGTAGCAACTGCAGCAATCTCTTCTTCACGATTTTCTCAGCAAACTTTGCCAAAATAGGTGTTAGACAAATTGGCCTGTAGTTGTCTACTTTGCTAGGGTCGTCACCTTTCGGAATAGGCTTCACCACCGAACATTTCCAGTCAATCGGCAACGAACCCTCGACAGCAACCTATTGAAAAGGTCAGTCACGACAGGAGAGAGGATGGTCGAAAGTGACTTGAAAACCATTGGGTGAAGCCCATCAGGTCCGTCAGGTTTGGTGCCGTCAAGGTTGGCGAGTAGTTGACATACCTCTTCAACGCCGCAATGTAGACTATCGAGTTCAGCAAATGCGGTGCAGCTCGAACTCGGAACAGGTACCTGGTCATTCGCAAATACAGAAGCGAAGTGGGCCGCCAACGAGGACGCACGCTCAGTGCTGGAGGTTTGGGGCTGTCCATCCGGGCCATCCAGCACTGGCACATCACCTGACGGCTTCAGGCGTCGCTTCACGAAAGCAAAGATTCGCTTTGGGGCGGTCTTCGCGGATATTGCGTGCTGCTATTCTAAATGTCGGCGCTTCTTTTTTGCACTGTTGCAGAGGTTCCGCTGACTTTTATACCCTTCGTAATCATTGGCAGAGCCAGAGAGGAGGAATTTGTCCCACAGTCTGCGCCGCCTCCGAGCCAGGTTTCCATACTCCTTGTCAAACCAATGAGACTTAATCGGTCCAACCTTTCGACATTTCAATGGCACAAATTGGGAACACAATGATGTCAATCTCTCTTGTATAAATATCCAACAATCTTCCACAGATGCAGCTTGTGACAGACCAATCCAGTTGGCTCGCGGCTCGAGCTAGATCATCGAAGTCCGTTTTCTAGTAGTTGGGAGCTGGCTGCAGCGGATGTGAATACGGCAAAGGTAATTCCATATCAGCTATCAGTACTGAGTATATATATATATATATATATATATATATATATATATTACACGCAATCTTTGGTACAGATATTGTGCCATCGGAATCATGTCTGAATAGGAAAACAATATGGATAATAAGAAAAGAGCAACAACAAATACTTTTTTGTCTATTTTACCACTCACAGTTTTTGAAATTTTTTTCAGTTTTTTTAGGGGTAGAAGGGACGCCGCAACAAACTGATGCACACGTCCGCCATTGACATCGGTCTTGAGCCATAACTTCCAAGTTCTTCAACCAACAAGTATCCTCATCTCTCGGACCCCAACCAGGTAGTCGACAACAGCCGGTCGAGACCAGCTGTTTCGTCAACTTTTTCATGCGGCTTCTCCATGTTGTAGGCTGTCCACCAGACCGTCTCTTCCAACCCTGTCCAGCAACCGCAAACAACGCACGACGCGGGTAACGCTGGACAGGCATGCGAAATACGTATCCTAACCACCGCAGTTGATGCAGTGAGATGAGCTCCTCGAGCGAGTGGCTTCCACGTCCCAAGACACACTGTCTAACTTCCACATTGCTTACGTGGTGCTGCCACCACACACTGGCAATGGACCGCAGACAGCGGTGCTCGAAGACGGATAGCCTGCGCAAGTCATCTTTGCGAATGGGCCAGGTCTCGCATCCGTACAACAGTACAGCACGAACAGTTGCACAATAGACCCGCCCTTTGATGGAGAGACGAATGTCGTGGCGACGCCACAAATGCCTCAGCCTAGAAAAAGCGAGGCGTGCTTTCGAGATGCGCATCAAAATCTCTTCTCCAACAGCCCCGACAGCAGTGATGCAACTTCCCAAGTAGACAAAGCTCTCCACAACCTCTAG